TAAGAAATAGAAATTCAAAAAATCTCATTTATAATTGTATCAGAAGGAATACCTAGGAATAAGTTTAATCAAGGAGGTGAAAAACCTGTGTGTTGAATGTTACAAGACATTAATTAAAGAAATTGAAGGCACAGATAAAAGATTGTCCATACTACCCAAAGCAATGTACAGATTCTGTGTACTCCCTATCAATATTCCAATGACATTTTTCAGAAATAGAAAAAAAACCCTAACATTTGTATGGTACCAAAAAGGATCCCAAAAGCTAGTGCAGTCCTGAAAAAGAACATAGCTAGAGGCAACATGCCTCTCTGATTTCAAACTATGTTACAAAGCTATAATAATCAAAACAGTATGGTATTGGCCTAAAAACAGACAAATAGAACAGGGCAGGGAACCCAGAAATAAACCCATGCATACATGGTCAATTAATATATGACAAGGGACCTATGAATAAACAATGGAGAAAGAACAGTCTTTTCATTAGATAGTGTTGAGAACGCTATACCCCTATGTTGTACACCATACACAAAATTAATTCAAAGTGGAGTAAAGGCTTGAATGTAAGACCTGGACCATAAACCTCCTAGAAGAAAACATAGGCTGTAAGCTCCTTGACATCAGACTTGGCAGTGATTTTATGAATTTGACACCCAAAGCAAAGGCAACCAAAGCAAAAACACATAAATGGGATGACATCAAACTGAAAAGCTTCCAGACAATGAAGGAAACCATCAACAAAATGAAAAGGCAGCTTACCAAATATGAGAAAATATTTGCAGGTCATATATCTGATAAGGGGTTAATATTCAAAATATATAAATAACTCATACAACTCAATAACCTCCCAAAAAAATTTAAAAATAGGCAGAGGATCCAAATAGACATTTTGCTAGACATACGGATAGCCAGCAGGTACATGAGATGTTTAACATCACTAATCATTGAATAGTTAGTATCAAGACAAGAAATAAGTGTTGACAAGGATGTAGAGAAAAGGGACCCCCTGTGCACTGTTGGTGGAAAAGTAAATTGGTACAGCCACTATGGAAAACAGTATGGAGGTTCCTAAAAATATGAAAAATAAAACTATGATTATCTGGCAATCCTGAGTATTTATCCAAAGAAAATGAAAACACTAACTCAAAAAGATAATGCACCCCCATGCTCATTATTTACAAGAGCCAAGACAGGGAAGCAACCTAAGTGTCCACTGGTGGAATGGATACAAAAAATGTGGTATATATATTATGAAATAGTATTCAACCACAGAAAAGCAGGAATTTTGTAATTCCTGAAAACATGGATGGGCCTTGAGTGCATTATGCTAAGTGAAATAAATCAGAGAAAGACAAATACTATAATCTTACCTATATGTGGAATCTAAAAACAAAGCAAAAAACAAACTCATAGATTGGTGGTTGCCAACGTCATGGGGTAAGGAGTGGGTGAAATGGATGAAAGGGGTCAAAAGGTACAGACTTACAGTTATAAAATAAGTTATGGCAATATAACATACAGCATAGTGACTATAGTTAATAATACTGCATTATAAATGTGAAAGTTGCTAAGAGGGATCTTAAAAGTCCTCATCACAAGGCAAAAAAATTTCTGGTGACATGTTATGTTGACCATTTTGCTATATAAATATCAAATCATTATGTTGTACATCTGAAACTAACATTATATGTCAGTTATACCTCAAAAAAACATGTAGTAAAATCTATAAAGGATGTAAGAAACTGGATAATTAGTAGCTCATGCCATTATATCTCAAATAGATAAACTATTTGTTTGCTTATTTAATTTCAGTTATACAAAGTACATGATCAAAAATAGAAAGCATAAAAACCTTATGTACTAAGTGGATTAGCTGCCCAACAATTCCCCCAAGTAGAAGAGACCACCATAGAATGAATGAATACCATCCAAAATCAGCTATGTATTTTTTTGATTACCCTGGCCTTCAGAAAAAAACATGTCTAGAATAAAATATTTAGAATCACTTAAGGTTATTTTCAGTGTATAAACTTGAAGGGAAAGAATTTATAGTATTTGGGTGAATGAAAAGAATATACTTAGAAAAGACCATCTTATTTTTCCCTACCTTCTAAGTTTCTACTGGTTGATCAGATTTTTGATATTAAAAGAAGAGATCATTGATGAGTTTGCTTTCCCTTTTAGGCAAAGAAGGAAACTTCCAAGCCAAAAGCTGATGAAAAAAATACAAGTTAAAGTTCACACTGGTAAGTTGGGTGTGTGTTGCAAATGAAGATAATTGTACCTTCTAAGGACCTGGGTGTTACAGGTGACAGGAAGGAAGTTCACCTCTGAGTGTTCCATCTCTCTCTTTATACTATTAGTGTAAATTGCACATTTTAAAATCTATAGAGTAATTCCCTGAAAAGCAGTAAGTGGAATTATTGTAGTAACAGAATGTTTAAAAACATTAATCTTATAATGAAGAGCTCTTTAAAATACTAGGCCAGGCCCTTAAACTAAATGACCATCCAAGTCTATTTGACTCTCTGAAACCCAAATGCAGGTGGCTGTGATAAAGCCACATTAGCATGTCACATCTTACAGCAGTATCTCCTTGAGCTTTGCAGTTACCCAAAACACCAACACACACAGTAAGTAACCCACAGAGTCTGGTCAAAACTACAGGATTTTTGGAACAAGAACCAAGGACGACCACTTTTGTTCATTCATAGTTTTTAAAAGTTTATGGTGACTGAAGAGCTCTTATAGGTAGGTGAGGGAATCTCTGAGATCTATCTAGAGAGATGGGCTCTTACTAACTTCAGAGAGAAGTGGACTTATTCTAAGCCTACAACAAGCTTAAAACTGTTGACCAAAGCCAAAGGAAATCAACATGTGGGTTAAATTCCCTTCAGCTCTCTCACCATGATCCAGTTTTATTTCCTATAAAGAGGGAGGTATAATGATTAGAATTGCTTTAAACAGTTTTTTTAAATTTTCTGTTAAAATCCAGTCTCATTTACTTAGAGGAAATTCCTTCTTGTTGTCTGTTGTGTTTTGTGTCTTTATGTTTTTGGGTTATATTTACTATGCCTGTAACTTAGAAAATTGTATCAAATGGTTTATTGGATTTTTTTCTTTTAATTTTTAAAGGTATCTGCATATAAAATCTTCACTGTAGATGGTGACTCTTGCAGAACAAAAGCCTTGGACAACATAAAATTTTTCTGGGTGGCTTCTAGAGAAAGTGGTATTTGTTGGGTCTTTGACATCCTAAACATTGGTTTGTTATTCTTTTCCCAGAAAGAAACTGAATTTGTCTAGTTCACTTGTGTTATTGTCCTGAGTATTGATAAACTCTGAACTTACAAAAATTGCCTTCAGTTGGGAGAGAAAGGAACTTTATATTTCTAAGAGATATACTTGATAGTTTGTTTCTTAAAGCAACACACACAGAAAGGAAAAACATTTGCAAACTTTTGCACATTCTACACACAGTGCCTGTAAATCTCATTAGTATGTTCAGTTTGCACTTAATTTTGTTGCTGTTGTTAACATTTGGAAAACAATGCTTTAAACATTCTTAAATGTTCTGATTTCTCATTACCCCTTTCCTCTTGGGCTCTTGAACTGTATTTGATGCTTTTTTTGGGTTAATGTTTATAAGTCAAACATAAAATATTATACATTGGGCACATATCTCATCTTGGGCTGCTAATAATAAATTAATAGATTACCTGGATAGACCAGGAAGCACCACATCCCTTTTTGGGTAGGACTCTTCTTTGCCAGAGGTTAGGACTTCTGCACTTTACAACCACCACAAAACATACTGAGACTTGAATCAAGTCAGAAGAAAATGCAGAGTATATGTCACCACAGAGCAAGTTCCAAGAATAAAACCTAGTTCTTAGGCTATTCAGTGGCTTGAATCCTGTTGGTTTACTGTGTCAAGCTGGACTGTCATTTTCTTTATATAAAACCTGAGCAGTAATTGTTTGCTTGCAGCCACTGGCCACATTAGTCTTTGCACTGTATAGCATCTGGCTTCATGGAAGTTAGGTTTACCAAACTTCTGCTTAAAAAATATATATCTGAAATTTTAAAACCTGCTTTTTCCCCCAAAGCAATTTAAGAACTAGGCTCTGATGTCGCATAACTTTGAAAGGTTTCTCAGATCTTTCTGAATGGTTTATGAACACAGCACTGATATCATTGATGAGATTTTGATAAGTATTTAATTTCATCTTTATTTCCTGGTAGTGAATGCAGGTAAAGACATCAGGCATGTGTCATAAAACTGATTGAGAATTTGTTTCAGAGAACACAGCCTTCCTTAGCATCTGTTTAAAGTCTTTATTTATTAGGTCTAAGCAGACTTCACTAAAAATAATACCGCAAATACTGTCTAATGGCAGGGAGTGGGCAAAAATAATAATACTGCTTATATTGGATACATTTTGTCACTCTAAAAATTCTTTAAAAGTCATGTACATACCTGTAAGATTTCAACCTCCACCCATGTTAAATGCTATGTCTCTATCTCATCAGAGATGCAGGAACTATTCTGTTCTAAATCTGGGAAATATAAGCCAGTGTTAAGGTGAATAAACCTTTTCAAGGCACTCAGAAGAAAATAAAAAACACTTTTCCTGAAGGATTTTAACTGTATCTAATTCTTCCATTTGGGTCATATAAAAGTTTTTTTTTTTTTAAGTGAAACCTTTGACATTGACAGATGTATTTGCAAGGATATGATACAGTATCACTAATTTCCATCCATATATAGAAGTATTTTTAAATGACATACCAAAATCCAGAGATTTAAGAAATGCCTATAAAAGTAAACATTTATTTAAGGTACTCTGAATATGCCTTTTTGTTTACTAGAAATAGCTTCAAGACTTGGGTGTGTACTAGTAATTAATGATGACTTGAGTAAGCTACAGTATCTAAATTAGTCTTTTTTTACCCATCTAGTTAGTTAGGAGGAAATATTACAAACATCCACTTAGAGATAAATAACAGACTTTTTATTATGGAAAGTTTTTGCACATTGTTGTGGCAGTATTGCATCTCTCTAGAAAATGGCCTTTTCCAAAAGCAAATGAAATAAATTCCTCAGGTGACCAAAACTGAAAACTATTATTTCCATGTTTCATTAGTCAAGATATAAAATACAAATAAAGATATTTTACATTAAAATCATGGCTTTGTATGTTTTTAAGAAAAAAAATACCTGAGAGTGGACATTACCAGTGATTTTTGTTTTTTGTTTTTATTTTTATTTTTCAAACCATTAAACCACACCATATGTATAAAAATGGAATTGGAAACACATTTATGTCCAGAAAAGTCACTCGATGGCACAGAATATTAGAACTTCACATTTTTGATATCATATTCCTTTAAGTTAGTAAACTCTCAAAAGACTTCAGTTCAAAGACAACAACACACTATCCTCGCTTAGCTAACATAAGCAAATATTTTCAGCTTCATAATACATTACCATTTATTGGAGACTCTGCAAAGAGCTATTGGCAGTAAGTGCCAATAACAAGCTATTCAGGAACGATAGACTCAGCCCAATAAGGAGAGAACCTAACCCACCTAAGGATCGACAGCTTTAGTGTTCACCTTCAAGTGAAAGGTCTCTCCTCTAGACCTGGAGGCCCCTGTGCTTTTACAGGAGAGACAGTGTATCAGTCAGGGTCCCTGAGGAAACAGATGGCACACTCAAATTAGGATTATCTGAGGAGGGTTCCATAAAAGGCTTTTTGTTTGTTTTTAAAGCAGGTGTGGGCAGGCAGTGTGGAAACCACAAGTACAGCCAAGATTAGTAAAAGCCAGGCTCCCATTTCGCCCTTCACCCGGAAGGGGTGAGAGGTAGCAGCAGTTACCAAAATGCAGAGGTGGAGAAGTTCTGCATGGGAAAGAGGGCCGGCTCTCTGGGGCCGAGATCTTCCGCGGGGGTCAGCTGGAGGCAACCTGCAGGGAAGCAGGGGAATACACAGCCCCTACCCTCTCCCTGTGCCCAGCTCCAATCAGCCCCCCAGGGAGGCTGTCCAAAAGCCAGAGAGCAAGGAAACCTGATGTGCTGGGCCTACAAGCCAGCCCTGGGCCACACGTAAGGGAAAGCGGGAGGCCGACTCGGCGCTGGCTTCACTCATCTAGGGGTTCCCTGTTCAGTAGTTCCCACTCTCCTGTCTTCCAAGAAGACTGACAAAGCAGCTGTGGGTGACAAGCACATCTGGAGCAAGGGTTTAAGTATGAAAAATAAAATGAGAAAAATAAGGTACTTTGTGCCTCCACAGTAGGGAATCTACCACTTGGGTTAATGTTGTGGGTGAACACCTGTAAATGAAACACATGGTAGCAATACCCCATAGATGAAAAAGTGGACAGCCAGTCTTTTCACAGAAATAGTTGAATGAGTAAGGAGCTGAAGGAAAAGGAAGCCTCCTCAGCGGGAGCCAAATAGCCATCTCTAGTTTCAATATATTCAGTCAACAACATAGATCACAGCAACTGGCAGGGAACAAACTGTTAGAGCAGTTCAAGCTTTTCATTTTGTAGCCACACTCTGATTTTATCAAAATTTTTATCCATCCAATGTATGTTTTCCTCAATGGCTTCAATTGTTTGTTGGACACAGCGGAGCTGAGAACCATTTTCTTTCAAAGAGCTGAAGAATCCTTTTACCTTTTAAGAAAAATAGGGTTTTTAAATTTTTGATTTATTATATTACACAAATATAATTTAAGGCTAGTTAAACTGAAGCCAAAATTCCAGCATTTCAAAATTCTATATAGAAGGCAGCGCCAGGTGTCTGGATACGATTATATACACATGAACTTAAGCTATACAAAATGAGCTCATGCCTCGTGGTGTCAAGTTTTTGTGTTTTTTTCTCTGCAGCTCATTTATTCACAGTTGACAGGTTCTACAAGACTTTGCTGTATACCATTTTATAATTAACATTTGAGTGTCTATTTAATGTGTATTCATTATATATACACAGAAGCAAACTAAATTTTTTTAAACATATCTAAAAAACAAAATGTACAGAGTATCTTCTTAGCCCTGTAAGTGCAGTCTTTCTCCATGGGCCTGGCCTTGTATGTTATTACAGAAACACAGTGGGGGATGGAGTTCTTAGCAAGTTATGGTGGTAATATCCCAACCCTTGCCAAATTTTTTTTATCCCAATCCATACTTCATGTATTGTTCCCTCAAGATAAAATCCACACAAAGTTCCCCATGCTTTCAAAAAGAGTCTCTTGGCTATCTCCTTGAAAATATCTTTGTGGTTTGATCACTGGGTATCTTAACCTTTTTAACCTCACATGAGAAATAGGCTGGCGTGACCCATGGTGTTGACCATTGTGCAACACTGTTTCACCTTAATGGGTTCTTAACCTTTTCCCATAAATTTCCACATCAATCCACCAATTTTTGATTTTGTAGATAAGAAGTAAGTCTAAACCAAGATGTATTTATTCAGCATGGGTTCCAGACAATTAATTCCTTAAAAATCCATGTCATAATACCATAAATTTGGAAATAAGAGAGGGGTAAGAATTGGCTTTTGAAAGCTCAAATTCTGATTTTAAGTGATTCAGGGTTGTTTTAAAATTGTATCTCAGTACAATTTGTCAACTTTGCCCTCCTGCTGTAGCAACCTAGAACACACGTGTCCTGCTCCCCTCGGCTGCCTGAAGTTGTAGTTCAGCCTCCTGTTTCATACTCTCAGAACTCAAGATTAATGTTCAATAAAAAAAACACTGGGCACTCAAACCACATCAATAATTTTATGAATTGGTCACTTATTAGTTGGTTCCTGCCCACCATAATACACCACTGAAAAGCAGACCTACAGGAGCTGGGACAAAGCCAGCCGGTGGCCCTCACCCTCAAAGGCCTCTGGACCCCAAATTTTCCATCTCCATCTCCCTTGGGAACTTAAGCATCTCGACTGAGTATTTGATTCAAACCTGCCACTTTGAGAACATTTTGTGTGTGACAAGCAGCCTGATTTACGGATAGAAAAACAGATTTATCCTATTAATGTGCTCGACCTTGATTTAACTTCTCTGAAACTATTTCCTCACTTGTAAAAGAAGGATCATCTCTACACTGAAGAGCACTGGCGAGGGCGTAGTTATATAATATGGGTAAGGTGCGGAATCTAAAGCTCAGCGTGTATTAGGGGCTCCACCTCATCCACTATTCATGAGTATTTACTCCGCTCATTATTTACCCCTTTGGCTTAATTACCAAGCTAGACACCGAAGGCGAGGCGGCAAGCCAGGCAAGCGCCCTCCCTTCAGGGAGCTTATAGTCTGAGAAGACAAGCAGTAAATTATGACTGCTATAAATACACTGCTGTGGAGAAAATAAGCCAAGGCTACAATAATAACCAGGGAGAGGGTGGCCTGCTTTAGACAGAGTGGTGTGGGAAACCGATGGACAAACTGGGACCACCAAAGGATACAATGAGCCGTTACTGGGGAAAGTAGGGGGAAGAGCAAGCAAGGCAGAGGGCAGGGCTGCAGAGGCTTAGAAACAGGAGAAATGCCTGGTGGCCCAGGGGCAGGAGGAGGCTGAGCGGCCGGAACTATGAGTGAGCCCAGGAGAGTATGAGAGAAGTGGCTGCAGAGGTGGGCAGGGACCAGGTCACCACAGTCTGGTGCGCATGGCAAGGAGAGGTTGGGAACCTATCACAAGAGCAATAGGCAGGGTTTCAAGAAGTGGTCAGTCATGGGCTGATTTTCAGTTTTAAGTGTGGAAAACATTTCGATACTGGCAAAGTGGCAGGAGGGAGGCCAGTTAGGCAGGCGACCATCGCAGGCCAGCCAAGAGATGAGAGTGCCTGGGCGGGGCAAGGGTGAGAAGAATGGATAGGATGCATACAGTGGAGGCGGAGCCAGCAGGACTCCGATGAACTGCACGGGAGGGAAGGAAGGGCTGCGGTGGCCATCCATTTTCTGTCAGATGGACGCTGTCCATTCTCACAATGTCTCAGGCTTCTGTGCTGCCACGCCCTGCCCCAGAGACATTGCACCTGATGTTTCCTCTGCACACAACATTCTCCCCCTAGATATCTGCACTTCCTTCAGTATCTGCTCCAATGTCTCCTAATCATCCCTAGACCACAGCACCATGCCTTACCCACTGCCTCACACCTTCCCTGGCCTTACTCCTCTTCAAAGCATGTACCTACCTGACATAGATCGACCGGTTTATTACTATCTGATTCACCTGTAGAATTTAAGCCCTCTGAGGGCAAGAGCTTTATCTATTCTGTTCATAGTCACAGCCCCAGAATCTAAAACCATGCCCACCACATAGCAAATGTAGTGTGTCTTGAATGAATTAAGAAAACAAAATGAATGAACAAGTAGATGAATGAAGTGTCTTATTGCTACAGATCCAGTCTATGGACAACCATCTAGCTAGTCATAATCTACGATGGCTCCTTAGTCATCACAGAGAATACCTCTGCTGTAGACCTCACTAGAATTCAAGCTGAAATTATTACACGCAAGTCAATTTTACAAGCCTATGAAAACTGGAAAAAAAGATAAGGGACATGATAGTTCCCTTTTCAAAGCACACTCCCTATATCAAGCTAGATTATGGTGTAACCAAATTACACAATGGAACTATTCTTTAAAAAATTAATATTAGGCTCTCAACTTTTATCTAAATGCAACATATTTTTAAAGCCATGCAAAATTTGCTCTATAACTTCACTATAGGAAACATTACAATAGAAGGGACACCACAAAACAATCAGCCATCAAATTCCTCAGTTTGAGACAATGAGAAATGTCTACTTTTGTAGAAAACCTGTGTGCTCCATGGTTTTGTCTTATCAGACAATGAGAATAATTCATACTATTTTCTCATTTTTCCTTGACTGTTAGAAAGCTGTGAAAAATCTGGAGTATAATAAATTTTCCTCAGCACAAATCCCTTACACAGCTACTTCTTTCTATCCATTATGCAGCATTTTCTTCTTTAACAATTTTTTTTGTATATGGACCTTATATGTTGTCTAAAATTCTTTCTGAATGTAGATGGTATATATATATATTATAAGTATCAGGAGATGATGAACTGGACAGGGAAGAACCTAGACTGCAGACCCGTCTCACAATAGCTAGATGATCACTGCAGTCATTTAAACCTCTAATGATCACTCTTGACATCCTACAATAGGGACTGCATGTCTAATTTCTTTAAGCCTGAAGATTCTTAATGGCAGAGCTAAGATTTCTTAGCATATTTGGGAAGAGACACAGTTTTCTATAGTTTATTTGTAACTTATTTTTGTTCATGTCAGAAACATGATAGCATCCCAAACGAACGTCTACTAAGAGACAAAATCCATTTGTAATTCATCACAACCTTATTTTGTCTACCCCATATTTATTAGTTAATTATCACTTCGGTTTAAAAAGTTTTTTTTACCTCTTCAAGCTTTGCTCTTGTAGAGAATTGATCTGTTGTTCCCATTACCATGTGGGCTATGGTAGATGAGCCAAGTCCAAACCTGTAAGTGGAAATTGTCAAAATATATTGTAAAATATTAATTCATTCAACATGTATTTTTAAGTGTTCATCTATGTTATAGCATTTAAAAACTGCTTAGGTATGAAAAAGACGTAAGGCATGATCCCCAGGGGTGAAGATCCAGTTGTAAAAAGTACAAATAAACACACTAAGAGCTGAATAAAAGATTAAGCACCCAAATAAATAGAGGTAGTAAACACTGAAGAGTTAGACAAGGACAGATGCAAACAAGCCACAGTGCTAATGGAAGACCGGGGCTGAACTGGGTGGAGGCTTCAAAGGTCAGTGGGGCAGGAAGGGATTATTCCAGACGCAACAGAAACCTTCACTATCCAGATGCGTTAGTTAACACTGAATTACGTTTCATATTTTCTAAGCATATTTTAAGTACCTCTACTTTTATCTTCAATCAAAAAAATCCCTCTAGATTATCACTGTGGTTTCAAAAACAAACCTAAAACACAGCCAAGGTAAGGAACTTCTCCAGCTATAACACAATTTTTGCGCTACTTACTTTTGTACAAGTTTGTCCCAGTTTTCCTTCAGAAATTTCCAGGCCAATGGATATCCCACTGGGTTTCTGCCAATAGTTCCAAGAATATGTGGAAACTCTTGAGTTTTTATTATATCTCCCTTAAAGCTTTGATCTAGTAGCCTAGAATGATTAAGAGAAAAAAAATGTTAGCCAAGAACAGGCCCTGAAAAGTTATGAATGACTTCAGTAAAACAACCTGTAAAAGAGAAAAGCCAATAATAAAGGCCAAAAAAGATAAATAGGTAACCAGAGCCCCAATAAACTCACTATAGCTATGTACTAATAAAAACTGCCATTTATACAGTGCTTACAGCACCCATTCTTATACATTCTCTCATTTGCTACTCATGAGAGTAGCTAAGAAAGGTTCATCTAGAATATATTTCTAAATGTGTTATTTTAAAGACACACAAGCCTATGTATCTTTAAATATTTTTCCCGACACCTTCTTCTCCCTGATTATTTATGACACTCATTAGATGTGTTCCCACTTGCATAAATGTTCCCAGCAGAAGAGGCAATTCCTGGCCAAGAGAACAAGATTAGAGGTCAGAAGAACTCTCCAGATATCTGACCTAACTTAATTCCTCCTGGCCCCATGAACATGAATGAATCACTTACCACTGAAGCTTTTCCTTATCTTGGCTAACACAGAGTGCAAATACAATTTTTGTTTTCTCGGTACTGGACAAAGATGACTGGTATTTATTATAAAGAAAATCCCATCCTTCAGGGTTCTGGGCCCCCACAGCAAACACTGTCAAGGCCACATCGCTGGGCAGCCTGTGGAAAAGAATACACCATGCAAGAGTCTGAGATGTAGGAAGTACGTCTGGGTGCATAATGGTGACCAATTATGAACTGATAAACTGGTCCCCTGATCAGAGAAGCATGGCTGGAAATATAAATGAAAATAACCTTTCCTTCAGCTACATTTTCTGAAAGAAACAAGAAAGAGTGTTTTAAATGAGGTTTTAAAACCTACTTAACATCTAGCCTTCTGAAAAATATAATGTGAAATGCCACTTTGATAAATACCTACATACCTAATATACTTTAACGATGCTGGCTGGCTCAATAGGTGGCCACTTTTCAACTGAAATGAAAGAAATCAAAACTAGACTCAAGATGCAGTCCATGAACCAAAGTCAAGAATCCAATAGGACCACCATCTGTAAGCATTTCTCTAAGTATATTGCTGTCTTGATATTTCCTGGATGGGATCTAAACCCCAAACATAAAAGGACACTAAATAGAGCAAGAATAAATTCCCAGACAGGGGAAGACCCTACTTTGCTTAGGCAGAGTCAGCATCCTCTATGCCCCCTGCATTGGGGACACTGGAGGCCCAAAGAAGCTACTAGAAGGTGCTGTGCCTCTGTTCCTGCCCAGGACAGCTATCTCAGTTCTGATGAGGCTTTGGATGCTGGTGGTATAACATGGGGTTTATTCTAATCCTAGCCTGCCTCTCCAGATATCTGACTCTTGTTCATAGAATTTCCCTCCTAGCACTTCTTAAAATAGAAAGTTGAGAGATACATAGATAAATCTTAAAAAGCAATTTATTTTCCCAAAAAGGGGAGACTTGTCTATAATTGACTTTTTTCTCCCAAAATGTGACACTGACGATGAAGAACAAAAAGATAGCCTTTACACAAACTGGTAAGGACAGACCTGAGATTTCCGTTGGCTTCCTTCCACGCTCTGAAGAAGCCTTCCGCCCTCTGTACACAGGGCGTGTACCGGCGCACGCAGGCGAAGAGGAGGAGCCGACTCTGCAGCATTCGCTCTGAGATGGAGCCGCTGTCTGTCCAGGTCTGCTTATCAATGAGGTCCTTCAGCAGCCTGATGAGAAAGGCCTGAGGGAGAGCCGACAGTGTCACCAGCACTCTCCCAGGTCATCTAAGGTTGTATAATCCAATACACCCTCAGGGGCTGGGGATTATTTTTTAAAGCTTAATCTAGCTATTATTTTTAAAACTGCACAGTTCTGTTTGTACTTGTAAAAACAGCCAAAAAGAAGTAACAAGTGATTTTAGTATTTGCATAGCAACCTTTTATAAACATGTCATCTACTTAAAATCAGGATGAACTGCCACTATTAAAACAAACCAAAAGAGACAGTTTATATGACTAGATTTCAAGAGCAAATTAGACAATAGGACTTCATGACATTTTGCCAGAAACAACAATTTTGTTTCCCTTCCTCAAGTACCTGAATACCAGACCATCTTAATAGCCACCATCACAATAGAGAAGTAAAATTAAGGATTAGCAAAAGGAAGGGAATAACAAATCCATGAAAATGAAATACAGAATCTAACATGGGCCAAAATAAAACCAAAATATTTGTGAGTCAATCTAAATACTGAATTAGCTTTAACTTTTCTTTAATATATATCAAGACATATATACACACAATGGTAAGAAGACCCACAGAAAAGCAAACCAGTTATATAACTGTTCAATTGATTTCAAGCCTTTACCTTGAATTGAGTTTCCACTTCATTCATATCTCTTTTCTCCATTAACTTATATATAGGTATCAGCTCATTCAAACCTTGGAACACAGGCATAATTTCAGTTTCATGTTTCAAGTACAGGGTTAAATCCAAGGCCTTTTCAATTGATAGCTTTCCAATGCTGGTTAAAAGACACCATGGTTAGCATTTAAAAGAAAATCCAGGATATCCACTTTTTGTTTCAGAAGATATTCTAACAATCTTCCAGCAACACAATCAGATATACAGGCCCTCTTATAAGTAATGACTTTTATATTAGTATCTTTTCTATCAAGAATATCTGGCATGTTTACCACTGTGTAGGACGTTTCTCAATAGAGCCTGGGCTGACCTGTAGTTACGATAAAATGGAAGCATGTCAGCATCTATCCCTTGAAGAAACATTGGCATGTGTGCTCAACTTCCAGAGTAACGTGGAGGTTTTGATCAAATATCTTTCAGGAAGCCTAGTCAGAGAGACAGCCATTCAGCAAAAACATTGAGTCCCTGGAGTCAATACATTCTCATCTCCATTTCATAAAGAAATGGCATAAACCCTTCATTACAGTGGTAGGATATATGCTCAGATACATAAACACAAAACCCTCTAAGATTTAAGCAGTGATATATGCTAGAGAGAGGATTATTTTTAGGCAAGGAGAAATAGATGAGCAACCCCTATCTTCACCCTCCACCCCATTGCTTAATATCACCCTAAGGGGCCCAGAAAAAGAATTTAACATTTAGAACAGAGGAACATGGAATATGAGGAGAATTACAGAATTATTCCTTTCCACCTGAATCATTCCCCTTAGGACTTCAGTTCTGCCTAAACATGAAGAAGTTTGAGCTTTAGGTTTAAGGACCATTTTCTTAAAAACCATTGTCATGGGCAAAAACATTATAGAGTGAACATTATCCTTAACAACTCAAAAGTCATATAGTTAGGCCCCATATTTTATGAGCTGTATTCCATAAAGATGTTGCAAAGTTCAGGTATCCAGTTGGGGGAAAGAGGAATCCCTTCTTTAATCCAAGAGATGTAACGAAAAGAACTTGGGCCTGAGCCACTTGGTCTTCTAAGGAGGCATCAAGATCTCTAAAGACCCAGCTCTGATCTGTTACAGCAGGACAAGTCTGCAGGGGCTAGGCCAGGGGCTGCTCCAGGAAGCTGGCTCCTGATTTTCTACATTTTTGCCTCAGTCTGATCTGAGTTGTTACTAAAAAAGATTAAAATACAGTTCCTTCCTTTACCTAACTTAGGAGACACAGATGGGAGGTTAATAAGAAGGCTACAAGCAACCTTGGATTACTAGAATTTAGGGGAAAACACCCTTCAAATTCTTATTAGCAATCAATCGTTTTCATCTGTAGAAATCAAGAATTTGAATGATAATAGCTGATTTCAGAAGTCAACCAAGACTCTGAGGAGCTTCTATTACCTGACAAGCTGAAATGCATTGTTAATGAGACTGGCCCGGTCATGACTGCTGATTGCTGTGTGGGCTCCTTTTAAAAGGCCAGTCAAAGAATCCCAGCCATCGTCCTCATAATGCACTATGTAATAGCCATTCATTCCCACATTAAATTTGATCCATTCCACCTCTTCTGGGAGGATAAGCACATCTAGAGAAAATAAAATAAATCATAGCTCCATTTTCTCTCCTGACTGATGAAAGCTTTTCTGACCAGAGAGGACAAGAAAACCAGCGGCAAGTTTAATATTGAATGATTTTAACACTGAAATGAGTTTCATACTGAACACACTTCTTTTAGAAACCAGAAATCAGCATCCCAACAGACAAAGCCAACACTAGTTTAGACACCAGTTTTGTGAGATTTATAAATCTATGAGAAAAAAGCATCCACATTTTAGGCCATATATACAATATAATTCAGCAATATGAACAATATAATGGAGATTTTCACCAGTAATCCTTCCTTCTTAGCATTATATGGCTCAATTGCTTTAATCTCTATTGGTCTTTTCTTTTTTTTTTTGCAACCAGACTATATTCTTTTACTTCTTTATTCTTCACTAGAAATCAAAAGCCAAACATGTGTTAAAGAAACAGGCTGACCCCTATGTTCATCACAGCACTTTTTACAATAGCCAAGAAATGGAAGCAACCTAAGTGTCCATCAGTAGATGAATGGATAAAGAAGATGTGGTACATATACACAATGGAATACTATTCAGCCATTAGAAAGAAACAAATCCTACCATTTGCAACAACATGGATGGAGCTGGAGGACATTATGCTCAGTGAAATAAGTCAAGCAGAGAAAGACAAATGCCAAATGATTTCCCTCATTTGTGGAGTATAACAATGAGGCAAAACTGAAGGAACAAAATGGCAGCAGACTCAGAGACTCCAAGAATGAACTAGTGGTTACCAAAGGGGAGGGGTGTGGGAGGGCAGGTGGGCAGGGAGGGAGAAGGAGACTGAGAGGTATTATGTTTAGTATACATGGTGTGGGGGGTCCCGGGGAGAACAGTGTAGCACAGAGAAGGGACATAGTGGATCTGTGGCAACTTGCATTGATGGACAGTGACTGCATTGGGGTATGGGTGGGGACTTGATAATATGGATAAATGTAGTAACCACATTGTTTTTTTGTGTGAAACCTTCATAAGAGTATATATCATTCAAACCTTAATAAAAAATTTAAATTAAAAAAAAAGATACAGGCTGACCTGATACTTTTTGTTTTAATCAACATAAATAGCAAAATAAAATTAACATCTAAATCCTATGCATTTCAGTTTCTTCTTGAATTAACCTACTTATTTTTATAATAAATTACCTGTTTTTGTCTTCAGCAAAAATCTATGGACTGAGTCTGATTTGCTGGTAATGAATGTCAATGGAACATGCCACAAGTACCTTAAGAAAAAAAGGATACATTGTTTATTCATTGATTCAATTCAACAAACAGTTATTAAATCACCAATCACATGCCAGGCACAGGCTGTTTTAAGAAAGGATGATACCAAAACAGCTATAGCCAAGAGTTCAAAACATCCCCACCCTGTAGAAGCCTTCTCCAGGAACAGAAATGCTGGTGAGCACTATTTTTTCTTGCCCTGCTTTAAACTACCTGGCCTGACACTTGTGGGAGCCAGTTATGACATTCTCTAACTATCATACTAGCACCATTCACTCACCCAGCATTCCCATGCAGACCCACCCCAAACAACCAGCCTGTCCTGGAAGGAGCCCCTGCAAGGCAGCTCCTACCCTGCCACACCCTGCAGGCAGCTACAGTCAGCACCAGTGTCCCCCAAGAGTGACTTCTGTCCTGCCCCACTTGGGAGGCTGCCTCAGTCAGACTGGCAGCCTCTAAGATGACCCACCCACTGGCACATTGCAGCAGCCACTGCAGTTGGCCTCTCAGCCAGCCATGTCGGGGGCTAGCCCTACCCACCCTTGCACCTGCAGCAGTCACAGCCCAGTCACAATAGGAGGCACACCAGCCCACACAGGGGACACTCCTCAAGTGCCTGGTTCTGATGACAAGAGATTGCACTACTGGGACCCACAGTGACACTACCTTTAAGATCAGGAAACATAACTAACCTATCTAATACATAGAAAAGAGAAAAAATGAGACAGGGGAATATGTTGCAAATAAAACAAGACAAAACCTCAGAAAAAGAACTAAATGAAGTGGAAATAAGCAACCTACCTAAAAGAGTTCAAAATAATTGTTATAAATTATTATTCTCACCAGACCTGAGGGAAGTGGATGAACTCAGTGCAAACTTCAACAAAGACAGAAAATATAAAAAAGAAATCAGAGCTGAAGAATACAATAATGGAAATGGAAAATACACTAGAAGCAATCAACAGATTAGAGGATGCAGAAGAATGAATCAGTGATCTGGAAGACAGGGTAGTAGAAATCATCCAAGCTGAACAGCAAAAGGAAAAAGAAATTTTTAAAAATGAAGGTAACTTAAGGGACCTCTGGATATCAAGCATACTAACATTTGCATTATAGAGGTCCCAGAAAGATGAGAGAAAAAGAGGAGTCAGAACAATTATTACTTACTTGAAGAAATAATAGCTGAAAACTTTCCTAACCTGGGGAAGGAAACAGACATCCAGATTCAGGAAGTACATAGAGTCTCAAACAAGATGTACTCAAGGAGGCCCACACCAGACACATTATAATTAAAATGTCAAAAATTAAACATAAGGAGAGAATCTTAAAGGCAGCAAGAAAAAAGTAAATGGTTATATACAGGGGAAACTCCTTAAGGCTATCAGATGAATTTCAGCAGAAATTTTGCAGGCAAAGAGGGAATGGCACAATATATTCAAAGCACTGAAAGGAAAAACTAAGGATACTCTACTGATAAGGTTATTATTCAGAATTAAAGGAGAGATAAAGAGTTTCCATACATAAAAGATAATAGAGTTAACCACCACTAAATCAGCTTTATAAGAAATGTTAAAAGAACTTCTTAAACAGAAAAGAAAATGCCATAACAAGAAGAAAATTACAAAAAGAAAAAATTTCACGGTAAAAGCAAACATATAGTAAAGGGACTAGACCAATCACTTATAAAGGTAGTATGAAGATTAAAAGACAAAAGTTGTAAAATCAACTATAGCTATATAAATTAATTAAGGGATAAACAAAATAAACAAATAAAAAAGGGGCATAATTGCTTTAAATATAAATGGGCTAAATGCTCCAATAAAAAGGCATAAAGTAAGTGAATGAATAAAAAAAAAAGACCCATTTATATGCTGCCAACAAAAGGTGGAAATAGGAATACCTTACAATTCAGTAATTCCACTTCTGGGAATTTATACAAAGAAAATGAAAACATGACTTTGAAAAAATATATGCATCCCTATGTTTACTGAAGCATTGTCTACAATTGCCAAGCTAGAGAAGCAACCTAAATATCCATCAATAGATGAATGGATAAAGTTGTGGTGTGCACACACATACGTGTACACACACACACACAGTGGAATATCACTCAGCCATAAAAAGGATGAAATCTTACCATTTGCAACAACAGGGATGGATCTTAAGAGTATTATGCTAAGTGAAATAAGAAAAAGACAACTACCATACGGTTTCACTTATGGAATCTAAAAACACAAAAATGAACAACAAAAATAGAAAAACAGAAGCAGATACATACAGAGAACAAGCTGGTGGTTGCCAGAGGAAAGAGATGTGGAAGGATGTGAAAAAACAGATAAACAGATGAAAGAGATAAAGAGGTATAAACTTCCAGTTATAAAATAAACAAGGGTATGGAAAGTACAGCATAGGAAATATAGGCAATAATATTATAACCACATATTGACATACACTAACTTTACTTATGGTGGTAAGCATTTGGTACATAAATTTGAATCACTATGCTGTATACCTGAAACTAATATAATATTGTATGTCAACCATACCTTAAAAATAAAAAATTAAAATTAGAATTAAAAACATCCCTAGCCTGTTTTCCAGTTTTGTAAAGGGTGCTGGCTCAGGCACTATCTATCCTTGTTAGATTTCTTTGTGGAGCTAGGAATTTGGACTTAGGTGAGCCTTGACAGCCTTTATAATGCATGGCTGAATGGAGCTCATAGGACCTAATTTAAAAACTGACCACTAATAAAGGCATAAATTGACATTATGTGCCTCCTAAATCATATACTAAAAAGAACATATCACAGGAATTCTCTGGAATTCCTACCAGTGATGCAGAAGCTGAATCTGATGTTGAAGAAATAGCAGAAAACCCAAATTGGAGGATACTCTAAAAAATAACTGGCCTGTACTCTTTAAAAATGTCTAGGTGAAGAAAATCAAAGACTGAGGAACTGCTCCAAGAAAAAAAAAAAAGATTGAAGAGATGTGTGGGAATTCTTCGCACTCTTGCAACTTCTCTATAAGTCTGAAACTATTTCAGAATAAAAAAATTTTTAAACTGTGTCCATCCAGGATCAATCAAGGTGCAGCATCTCATTTCCAGCAACGTTCTTGTGTAGCATTAAGCTGACAAACAGGCTTCAGGATCTAACTCAGACCTCCAAGGAAGAGAACAGAGTCTCTCTCCGTTTGGAGGAGTCACCGAAGTGTTTACACACTCAGCTCCAGCCCAGCCCCCAGCAGTTTAGTGGCAGTTACTTAGACTGCAGCTGACTTCAAGTCAGCAACTGGAAATCACCATCCTAAGGAACTACAAAATACAAGGATGCTACAATAATTGTACAGCATCAGCTTTACTGAGATGAACCAAGGTTTAACGCCACCTTCATCCCGTTGGGAAAATGGTGGTGTGTGAGCCAGCTTCATAGGATATACATACATTTGATTGAAATATTTTAGTGCTAAAGATAAAGGACTCTTTCCTTTAGGGTTTCCTCCTGCAAGGCACACATTACCTCGCTCACAAACTGAGCTTCTCTCCCTGCACATTACCCGGTTTGGGGACCACCATCAGATCCCTTCCTGTAGTGCTCCTGCTCCATGTGCACGGTCCTCCCTCGCACGGTGATGGTTATCATGGGAAAGCCCTTCTGCAGGGTCCAGGTGTCCATCATGGTTTTCACATCAAGGCCTTCCCGTCGCCAGTGCTGGTTTACACAGAAGAAGGCAGACACGTGACCCAGTTAGACCCTAAGACAGAATCCAAGCTCGTGCTGACAGGGCTGCTACAGCTTGGCAACCTCCTCTGCCTCGTCCCTCTCTCTCTCCCAGCCCCTGGCCCTCCGCCTTCCCCCGCTGCCTCCAGCCACAGCACAGCCATCAGAGCACCACCCATCCACTTTCAGTGCTTCCTCTACACGTGTGTCTTGAGAGCAGGTGCTGTACCTGGTTCTACCAGGCATACCTTGGCCTTCGCACTGGGCGCACAGCGGGTGTGAGAACACATGAAGGTAGAGAAGGGAGAGAAAGTGGCGAGGTGTTCTCCACCTACATAATCATGCTGGCTCTCAGACAAGCGAGATGGGAAAACATGTTCAGTCAAGTGCCTGTATTTCCAAAGTCATAACGCCAAGATGGCCAACATTCAACAGTCCTTAACTCAACAGAGGATATAGTCTTTGAAACTAAAAAAAGCTTTTAAAAGATGTTTAAGAGCTACTAAAAGGACAAAATATACTGCAGGACAAACCTAGAAACCTTAAATAAAGCCATCTCTAAACACAAAAATATGATGGATAAAATCTTAAAATTTAGATGTTGACCCTCCAGATTCCCCCTCTACTGCCTATGAAAATATTCCACAAGTCCAGATAAAGAGAGACTCAGACTGCTTTGTGACTCAGATGTTATGAATTCTTTGTAGCCTACCAGTTAAAAACATGAGTTAGATCTAAATTAAAATCCCCACTCTGCAATTTACTAATCCTAAGCCTTTGGATTTCATATTGCCATCCGTTAAAATAGGGGGAGTCATATTTCACGTGTGGGGTTTATTGTGAAGAGCAAAGGGGATACTACATAGAAGAGCTTAGCACATGACTGACACGTAGTAAGTGCCCAAGAATGCTCATGGCCATTATTTATATTTTCACAAATGAAGAGCTATAGAAATGATCCACATAGCTAGACTGATATAGACCTAATCCACCACAGAAATGTGTCATAAATTCACTGCTTTGCAGAAAGTGAAGCTGAACAAATTAGCATCAGTGAAATGTGTTACCAAAAAGGCTATGCAACTCCCTTGTGTAGAAAATTTTTAAGAAAAATTGTAAAATGCTGTCAGTCTGGAATAGCGTAAATGCAGTATTATCTAGAGTGGGAATAATATAGTCAAGGACCTCAGAAAGTTTGGCACAGAGCTCTCCTTCCAAGAATACAGAGTAAAAGAATGTGCTTAGGGATAGCATGCACAGATGTAAAAACTTACTGAGGATAAAGATGAGCGTTGACCATTAGAGCAAAAGCCGTCCATCCCTTGTGTGCCATCTGCAGGGCAAATCTAAAAGCCAAGAATAAACACATCATTCTCCGTTTCGTAGGAAACACTTATGATTCTTCTCAGAGGGATTAATATGGTGCAGGGCAGCGTGGTGGTGTTGGGGGGTGCGGGGCGGGGCAGGGAGCGTGCAAAATAAACTGTCAATCCCAAATGTAGAGATACACACGAACATACTCACACTTGCCATACTATTCCACAGGTCCTCGTTTCTTGTGTTTTTATAGCTATACTTCTGGAGATATTGCACAATACCACTTTTAAATGCATCGGCACTAAGATATTCTCTTAACATATTCAGAATACAAGCTCCCTGAAAAGACAATATAATTGTTAGTTATAACTTGGTCACAATCAAATCTACTACCTCACTTTGTCTTGGAATAATTCTTTTAAGATGCAACTACAGTAATGTGCTTAATTCTAGTGATTTGTGAAACAAGTAGGGAAAATTAGGGAAAGTGGGTCAAACCCATTAGGGAAAGTGGAGGTTAAACCCAGACCCGTCTAGGCAAGGGCTGTTGCTTATGTTCAGTCCACTGGGGCCATTATTCTCCACCAGGATCCGAGCCTCCCACAAGACAAACGAACATCATCTGCCAGCGCACATTAACCAGTGGTGAGTGGCCACTGGTGATTACACACTGGACCATGGACCACCACTTGGCTTCCCTCTTGCCAGTCCAGAACAGGAGCAGGGAGAGGGAATGGTGAAGCCTGGGCAGCCTTGAGCACAGAGGACTGAGAAGGCAAAGGGTAATGGTGAGAAAGGGGCAAGAGGATCCCTGATATCCTATATTTCTGGGCTAAAACCTCCTTTCCCCTCTACTTCCATTACTGTGCAAAGTGAATCACGAACTCAAATGCCCCCAGAAGCCCAACAGGTGACATAAATGAGGGAAGTAGTCCAAGGGTAAGAAAAGTACTCTTATACATGGTTTTCCCTGTGTAATTTTTCTTTTATACAACTTGCTAATTACCAAGAACTGACTGTTTGTCTGTCTGTCTGTCTGTCTGTCTCTCAACATACTACCCTGTTTTAAATCATCTTTTTCTAAGAAATTGTGATTCTCGCTTCCTAAAAAGCCCTTCTCTTTCTTCCTGGAAAGGCCAATTCTTCCTTTAACACATAACTCAAAATTTTTTCCAGGAGGTAAAGGTGGTCTCTCTCTCTCTGGCTCTAGAAGATGGTGGGGGACACTAGATAGGCAAAGCCTAGACCTCTGAATGCCTACGTGGAGTGCACATCCATGCCAATGGGGTTAGAATTTTATTTAATTTTGTTGAGATATAATTGACATGTAACATGAATTTCAGATGTATAATTTACTGTATATACTACAACACGGTAAGTCTAATTACCATCTGTCACCATAGTTATCAATTTTTTTCTTGTGATGAGGACTTACAATCTCTTTTCTTAGCGACTTTCAAATATGCAGTATAGTATTATTAACTAAAGTGAATGCTGTATATTACATCTCCATGACTTATTTTATAAATGAAAGTTTGTACTTTTTAAACCCCTTCGCCCTTTTTGCCAACCTCAGAAGCTCTGCATTCCTGCGTCTCTGGCAACCATCAATATATTCTCTAGGAGCCTTTTTCTTCTTTTAGATTCCACATGTAAGTGAGATCTTAAGGTAGGTATTTGTCTTTGCCTAGCTTAATCTCACTTAGAAGTATGCCCTCAAGTTTCATCCATGTTTCCTCAAATGGCAAGATTTCATTTTTTATGGCTAAAATTTCATTGCATGTGTGTGTACATATATATATATATATATGTACACACACACACACACCACATTTTCTTTATTTACTCACCAATGGACTTTCAGGTTGTTCCCATATCTTGGCTATTGTAAATAATGTTTCAATAAATATGGGGGTACATATATCTTTGAGTTGGTATTTATTCAGAGAAAATGAAAACACTAAGAACTGGAATTGCTGGATCTTATGGTAGTTCTATTTTTAGTACTCTGAGGAACCTCCATAGTGTTCTCCATAGTGGCTACACCAATTTACCTTCTGTGCACAAGGGTTCCCTTTTCTCCACATTCTCGCCCTTGCCAATACTTGTTATTTCTCGTGTTTTTTATTATAGTCATTTTAACAGGTGTGAGGAGATATCTCACTGTGGTTTTCATTTGCATTTTCCTGATTAGTGATATTGAGCATCTTTTCATGTACATGTTGGCTATCTGTATGTCTTCAGAAAAATATCTATTCAGATCATCTGCCCATTTAAGATTTTTTAATTATTGATTTGTATTAGTTCTTTTTATATTTGGGATATTACTCCCTTATCATATATGTAGCTTATAAATATTTTCTCTCATTCCATAGGTTGCATGTTCATTGTTTATTTTGCTATACAGAAACTTTTCAGTTTAATATAGCCCTACTTGTTAATTTTAGCTTTTATTGTTTGTGATTTTGGAGTCATATACAAAAAAAAAAAAGAAAAAATTATTGCCAAAACCCATGTCAAAGAGCATTTTCCCTATGTTTTCTTCTAGCAGTTTTACAGTTTCCAGCCTTAAAGTCACTAAGCCATTTCAACTTAATTGTTTTGCAAGTAGTATAAGATAGTGGTCCATTTTCATTCTTTAGCATGTAGTATTAGGAAAACTGGACAGCCACTTAGTGGCTCTCTATTCTGTTTCATTGATTTCTATGTCTGTTTTACTTCTGTTTTTATCTCCTCTGCACTATTGATTTAAACATGAATGCAAGAAATGCTTTTCTGTTTACTACAAATAAAACGTCATTTATTATTGCAATTGCAATAATACATGACACATTCTCTGCTTCAATGAGGACAACAGAAATGGTTAGGAATGGAAGGGGAAATGGAAAAGCAGAACCTTGAGCTCACAAAGCAGCAGCCACATTTAGCTAGAGGCTAAGTTGCCAAGGGAAATAGCCCCAGTGTGACCAGAATCTTCCCTTTCCCCCATCCCTCAAGAGAAGCCAGAAATCTGGAATTTTATATAAAGTCTCCCAATTATTTAATGTTGGCAATGATTTCCAATTCTGTTATTATGCACATTATGCAGAATGCTTTGCAGTTCAGCAACACAAACTTTTTCTGAAGGCACTGAAAAGTAAGCTATTCATGAGCAATAATTTTTGCCTGGTACAAAGTTGATGATCTATCAAGACTTACTTGTTAGGAATAGCACGCACAGATGTAAAAAGAGCTTCTCTAGGCCATGCATTCAACTTATGACAGAGTAAATTAAGAACTGACCATAATACAATCTATAAGATTACAGGCTAAAATGAAAATTAGGCCCTAAAGAGTTAACTCCAGCCAGAACAGGTCAAAAGAAAAGGCACTCGATCGGGGTTGTTCTTATGAAGGGAAACAACCCCACAACTCTATAATCTCTCCACCTCAGTTTTTATAAATTTAGTGTCCTCACTGTATCCTTATAATCCATTTTTACCTTTTCATAAGAAACATCATCAAATAACTCCTGAATCTGAGCAGGATTCTCTGCAACTGTGGACACAGGGTGTGAAGAATTTAATGCATCTATCTCCATCACATTAAAACACTTGCCAAAGAAATAATCCTCCTATTGAGACAGAAAGCCAACATCAACCTCTGATTAACATTTAGATGAAAATTATGAAACAAAGAAAGTTTGATCTGAGGTTTATACTGCAAATTTATGGACCAAGCTATTCCTCATTTGTAGAATATACAAAATAAAAATAGAACTACTATCTTCTAAAAAGCAACCAAGAAATAATGATCTTAGGTAAACATTTTAGATTTTGTTCATCTTAATACTTAAAATACTTAAAAATAGAACCACTATGCTTACAGTCAAACAGGCCAAAACAAGAAATTAAAATGTATACTGATTTCAACATTTCCAACCAGCTACACTATTTAAAGCAAAGCAATTTAACTTTAGAACCATATAGTGAAACCAAAAAAAAAATGGAAAACAAATTCTAACAATAATGTGATTTATTAGGGCACATTACCCAATAAAATCTGCATACATAATCATTTATATTATTTAAGATTAGATGGAAATATAGGAAAATATTTATGATCCATTGTAATTACATATTCATTATAATTATAACCATATATAGTGTACAGATAGTGAAATGGGAAATTAATATACATAAGTGAAAACTAAAGTAGGTAAAAGTTTTGCTTTTGTTTGTTTTATATAAAGTAAGTTTCTTTTACTGCATGTGATTATCAGAAGTTAAACACACAATTTTAAAAATGAACATGTAGACATTCCAAAGCATCAAGTTTATGACCCATGAGCCTAGGTTCCTATACAAATAAATATGCAGTTACCTTAAGAATAGTTGCTTTGATTTGGCAAATAGGGTCCTATTGAAATAATTGTAATCTGTACCTAAGGTGCCTCCACTGAGCACCCCGAAGGTTGGTGAAATGATAAGGAACAGATAAGCTATCATTATTTCTGTTTCTTTGACATGAAGGGAGGACAAAATTCAACACTTAATTTCATAACAACCATATTTGGAAATAAGCAATACTGTTTGGAAATAAGTTTTATGATAGACCTTTAAAGTTCATTAGCATTTTGGAAAATTGAATCATGTCTGAACTCCCAGGGAAGTTGTTAATCTTTCTATGACTCCTATAATCAAAGATCAGTAAATATTTTCCACTAACATTGAACAATAGGTTAATCTAAAATGTGAAAAAATATAAAATAATCATTCTTACAACTTTCAGTTCTGGATGAGTCACACTGACAGACACAAACTCCATAAACTTGGCAAATCCTTCATTTAGCCAAATATCATTCCACCATTCCATAGTGACAAGGTTCCCAAACCACTGAAGGGAAAACATCAGGTTATTCATACATTTCTACAGAGACTGGGTTCTCTACACAGCCATAAACATAAGGCATTCAGAAGGAAATATTTTATATGAGTAACATCAATATATGAATGTTAAGATGTATAGAACTAATATTTTATCAAAGTAAAAAGAAAAACCTTTCAATATGCATTATAAAACATGGTATCTAATGCTTCAAAAACTTTTGCTATGGGAAAAAAGTAAAACTAAATACAATTCGTATATCAATATCAATAGCCTCATATGTCCCACAAAAGCACTATTGATGTGGTTTAACTACAATTTTTAAAAGGTGTGTCTGAGCTTGTATACCTGGTGGGCGAGTTCATGGGACACAACCAGTGTGATGTGAAGCTTATCTGATGCAGAAGACTTTTCTGCATCAAACAACAGAGCAGATTCCCTGTATGTTGTCAGTCCCCAGTTTTCCATAGCACCAAACTGAAAGTCAGGAATAGCAGCAAGATCTTGAAAAGGAAGCAAACATATTACCATCTCTAAGCTACACACTGCTCAAACACGTTAGCCTTTAGAATGTATGTGTATAGGATTCAAGAAAAGCTAAGCTGCCTTGCAAAAGCATGGAATTCTAGACTGGGAGAACCTTTTGCAATGGAGAAAAAGGGGCTCAGTGACTCATTCAGTCACTTTACTGCTGCACAACAAAGTCAAACTTTGGTCTCAGGCATTCGCAACTCCATTTCTAACTTTCTCACAAGGAGTTTGGGGACTGAAAATTATCTGCCTGACTTTGGATACCCAAAACCCCCCATACACCTAAAATAGTTTTAAGGGCACAGCTAAGAAAGAAAATGCACATTTTCTTATGCTGTATAAATTTATACTTTCAAACAAATTGATTGAGCTCCCTCTATGTTTTTACCAAATATGTGCCAATAAGAAAAAAACATAGCCTCTGCCTTTTGCTGTCTGCCCACTAGGACAGTTGGGTTTTTCTTTAATATCAGAAGGCAAAATTATCCCAATGCCACAGGAACCTTATGTAGATCTGCTTTTACTATCATTAGAAGTTCATTATATAGATTGGGGGTAAGAAGATCCACCTGATGATTGACACCTGCCAGAGTTTTTAATGACTTGAAGGGCAACTGAGAAAATCACATGGATGCCAATTAGGAAGATATAATTTATAGCTTGGGTCATTAAATGACACAATTTGAGATATCTGTGCAAAATCTCTACCTTGTTTGGGTAAGGGATATGGAATGCTGAAATAATCCTCATAAAATTCCAGAAGAGTCACTGCAGCATCCAGTGCATAATTGGCCTGATTTATCTTGTCGGGCACAGCATACACAGAAACCTGCAGAGAAAGGTACAAAATAGTTATCTAATGCTGTAGTGCCTTCTCTCCACAAGTGTATAGAAGACTGACATTAACGGCTTCATATTGCGGGATATGGGTGCTAATAACAAAGCAGACAATTGGAGGTTCTATTTCTTGTATTAATGCTGGCTTTCCCCGATCAACTACACTTCTGAAAACAACTACAAATGCTGGATGACATATACAAAAATGTCTTTTCATGTGTTTTCATGATAGAGCAAAAAAGAAAACTTAGATGCCCCAAACTGAGTGACAGCAGGACCCTCAGAAGTCAGCAGAATACTGCAGCCAACTTTTGTCCTGAAGAAACAAGCCCTACACAGACAGATTTGAGCTTTGGTTTTCACAGCCTTGAAGGACTCAGGGAACAGAAGACCAAGTCCAGAGCCTGACTGAGGCAGGAAGTCCAACAGGAGAGGCATCCCTGCAAAAAGCTGAACCCTAAAGGACCATGCCCTTACTGGAAACTAGAAATAACCACACCCTTCCTCAAGGAGACTGCAAGAATTAAAAAAATACCTTATTCCAATCTTGCTACTGTATGAGGACAGTGGGGGGCCTCCTCACATAATCTGTAGTTACAGCTAACCTTCATGCTTTTTAGCAGCTGAACTCACAATAACCAAAAACCTGAAGCCAATAATTTAATTCAGATTGGTCCTCAGGCTAGGAAATGTTCCCAGCCACCTGACAGAAGAAAACACAAATTCTCTCTGGAGGAACCCACCTTCAACTCAGATAATATAATTTCACAGATATATAATTCACAGCATTCACAAAGGAATAAGACACTGTGAGCAAGAGCCAGCAGAAACAACAAAATGCAGAACCAGACACAAAGACTTCTGATATGACAATTACCATCACAGAATACAAAATGTTTGTGTTTAAAGAAATAAAAGGAGTAAAAATATTTGTATGTAAAAGGGGTTCTGAGGCCCAATTCCAATGCAGGGTAAAGGGTTCCCCACAACACCAAGCAATTCTCCAACACCAGCTGGGTGTCCTACAATTCAATTGTGATATCATCTACCCAGAGACAGCATCAGACTCCACAGGTTGAGTCCAGTCCAACAGAACTGTCCCCCCTACTGGGTTATCACCTGTGCTTCTGACCGCAGGCTATAGATCAGAGGTTCCAACAACCCTTCCTTGGGTTTGATGAATTTGCTAGAGTGGCTCACAGAACTCAGAGAAACATTTTATTTACCATAAGAGGATATAACTCAGGAACTGCCAGACAGAAAAGATGCATAGGGCAAGGTTAGGGGAAAGGGCATGGAGCTTCCATGCCCTCTCAAGGCACACCACACTCCAGTTCTAGCTGTTCCCAACCTGGAAGCTTTCCAAACCTATCCTTTCAGGTTTTTACAGAGGCTTTGTTACACAGGCATGATTAATTAAATCATTAGCACTTGGTGACTGAACTCAATATCCAACCAGTCTCCCATCCCTGGAGGTCTGGTGGGGTGGGACTGAAAGTTCTAACTCTCCAGTACTGTGGTTGATTTCCTGGCAACCAGCCTCTATCCTTAGGTTACCAGGGCCTTTCCAGAGGTCACCTCATTGACATAACAAGAGACACCTTTATATCTCTCATCATTTTGGAGATTCCTAGCAGTTTTGTTGCTCCATGCCAGGAACTGAGAAAAAAAACGAATATGTATTTCTTATTGTAAATCATACACAGTATGGAAGAGACATTATAGAATCATTCATAAAGGATTCACAAAAGAGGTCATATCAATGGGTGAGTGTTTTTGCTGACAGTTTATCTGCTGAATTTAGATTGTTCTCTACATTGGAAGTCTCAAGAATCACCTACAAATCCCCAGGTAAAAAGAGATTTCCATAAGAATTAAAGCCTCAACACTAAGAACAAAAGGCAATTCAGCAAAGAAGCCCTAACACTCCAGGCCCAGTGAAAACCAGCACAAATATATGAGGTATCTTCAAACAAAGTGTCCACTCCTCCTCTCCAAAAAAATACATTTGCATTCAGAGTCATAGCATACAGTTGCACAGGTTGTTCACTACACAATCGTACCCAGAAAGGGGCAAATGCTCCTTGAAACAGTATCTTTTTCTCCAACATTCCAGTATTCCTGACCCAAATGCTGTCCCCAGAGCCACTTAATACTCCAATCAGACTGCTCTATCTTAAATCCTTCTGCAGAAATCTCCTGCTCTGAGAGTCATTCACTTCCAAACTGCAGAAATATATAGCCATTAGCAACCTTAGAAACCACTGTACAATCCAGTCCAATTGATACATTTTTAAGTATAAACTAAGTTCCAAAGGGAGCAGGGCCTTGGTCAGAAAGCCAGCGCTGGAGCCAGAAGCATGATCCAGTCCAGGCCAAGGCTCTCCACACATTTATGTTGTTAGAGCTGTTAAGCTGAAAGACAAACACAAGAGGGGTGGTGTGGATAAAATGAGAGGTCCTGTGGCCAGGATTCTCACCTGGCTGTGGTGGACTAGCTCACAGCACACCTGTGGGCAACACATGGCTGTTGACTATAAAAAGAGCTCCACCAAGTACTCTGGACGCAACATGGTGGCACGGCTGCAAGGCTGCAGGAGAGCAGAGCAGAGCAGAGGCTGGAGTGGTGGCAGCACCGAGCACAGAGGCCCAGAGGACGGCTGTGTGGGACGACTGTGTGGACAGAGGGGCCCAGAGGCAGAGACAAGCTTGCTGCATGCAGACTCACTCTGAGTAAATGGGATTTTAGTGACTGACCTGCCACCTGGAAATAAAGTTGGGTATAACCCTTTACCCCAAGAACATTTTGCTGTCGATTTCTTTGGTCACACTGAATCCATAGTGAACTTGCCTGGGGCTGAAACCCATTGGCAAGACAATTGGCATAGTCAGAAGGATTCACTGTTGATCAAGGAAAAAGACAGGCTGCCCTTATGGGAGCGGTGCTTCAGCGGGCTGCCCCTGTGAATGGGGAGACAGTGGATTGTCCCCCAGTGGGTATGTGGTCTGAGGTAGCTTGCCTCCTGGAGGACTGGGCCCCACCCCAGGACTGGAGGCAAGTGGAGGTGACACCTGAGGCAGTAGGGGTGGCCCTTGGTATAGTAAGCAGGTCCTTTGAGAAGCAGAGTGCCCAGGAGGCAGCGGGGACTGTGGGTTGGCTGCTTCTCACAGTATTAAAGAAGTCTACAGAGGAGACCCAAGAAATGGCAGCAAGAGAACACGAGCTGCAAACCTCTGTGGATTCCCTGAGGAAGGAGATGGCATTGATACGGAAGGAGGCAGCATGAGAGCGCCGGCAGCAAGGTGCCATTGGAGAGGAGACGGCAGTGCTGCCAGGTGTTCTGAAGGAGGAAGAGGCCATTAGGGAAAGGGATGAGCTCCTGAGGGAAGCACAGGTGGAAGTGGCATGAGAACGTCAGCTGCAAAGCATTGAGCTGAAGGTAAGAGACCTTCTGAAGACTGAGCTGGCTTTGCTGCGAGGCAATGTAGCAGAGGAGGCACCTGGGGGAGTGGAGAGAAAGGTGCCATCAGCCCCAGAAATGGAAGAGCTGGGGAAGGATGAAGGGGTGGTGCTGGAGGCACTGGCCCCTCCTGTATTGAAAGCATGCCCAGTGGTTGTAAAGAAAATAAAGATGCAGCAGCTGAAAGTTCCCCAAGGAGAGGAGCAGCCCCCTCCCCAGGTCGTGGAGCAGTCTACGGTCTGCCCTTATACTCAGGCTGAGACGGAGGCTGTGGGACTTAGGGGTGGATGGAATTGTTCTGTCGGGATCAGAGACGGGAAAGCTGTCTTCCCTGACAGTGCAGCCCACCTTGGGGCAGCGATTACAAAATGCGAGGTGACACGTACAGTAGCTGAAGCAACGAGAACCTGGAAAGAAGACCTGTTACTAATAGGAGGAATTTGAGGGGCCTCGTGAGGGTTACAAGGACCCAGATGTGGGTTGATTTGATATGGGCAGGAGTAGATGAAAGGAAATTAGACGGGAAGCCAAATAGGATCTTACTAGAGCTATGGCAACAGCTGAAACCAGAGCAGCAGTTCCAGCCATTAAGACCAAAGAGGCAGAGGTCAGAGACAGAGCCATGAGTCTGGCCTGTGTGTCTGCAAGACTTTTTCCTGGAGAGGCTGGAGAACAATGTTTGAGCTTCCTTGCACAGGGACCATTGCAGAGGACTAAGGGCACATAGATTGAGAGGAGGGAGTCCTGGAGGGGTGGAGTGTAGATAAAATGAGAGTTCCTGTGGTCAGGATTCTTACCTGGCCATGGTTGACTAGCTCACTGCACACCTATGGGCAATACATGGCTGTTGACTCTATAAAAAAAAGCTCTGCCCAGTGCTCTGGGCATGACACGGTGGCAGGGCTGCAGGAGAGCAGAGCAGAGGCTGGAGTGGTGGCAGCACTGAGGACAGAGGCCCAGAGGACGGCTGTGTGAGACGAGTGTGCAGAGAAGCCCAAAGAATGGCTGTGTGGGACGACTGTGCAGAGAGGCCCGGAGGACAGCTGTGCAGGACAGCTATGTGGACAGAGGGGCCCAGAGGCAGAGACCGGCTTGCTGCCTGCAGCCACCCTCTGAGCAAACAAGATTTTAGTGACTGACTATAACCCTTTCACCCCAAGAACATTTTGCTGTCGATTTCTTTGGTCACACTGAATCCATAGCAAACTTGCCCGGGGCTGAAACCCATTGGCAAGACAGGTGGAGAGAGAATAAAGCTAGTAAAGCCCACTAAAAGGGACTCAAAGAGTTAACCAGATAAAACCAGAGAGCCAGAGAGGGCTCACAGAGTTCACGAATTAATTAAAGTTTCAAAGGCCAGGAGTGACTTGGGCCGTGTGGATATTCCCCAGAGAGACAAAAATCAATGAAGGACATCTCTGCCCTACCCAGTGAGATAGAGCACGGAAAAAGGACAAGGGTCCTGCCATCATAAAATCTACTTAGCCTGTGAAAAGACTCAGCTTATTTTTTAACTTAATCTATGTTCTGTTCTTCCTCTTCCTCCAGCCCCTTAATCGAGTTACTTCGTAACCAAGACAGGAGATAGACCTCCCAAGTCTAAATAAGCCTATAAGGATAAAGAATGTGGAAATCCAGTCCAACACGGTCACCTAAATAACCCTATTCTTAAGACAAAACTTCCAAGGAAATCTGAATCACTTCAATACATCATGACTTATGCTGACTCCTACCCTAAAAGCCCTATAAAACCCCCGACCCTAAACCCTTAAGTGTGCCTCCTCTCTGAGGTAACCCACACTCCCCTTTCTTTGTCACTCTCTCTGATCTACTCCAGATCAGAAGGAAGGGGCTACTGAGAGCTCTGATTTGGGCTTGCAAGTTCCCATCACCTGGGTGACCCAGATGATGGACTGCAGCTATACAATCTTGTTCTTTAGTAGCCTGCCTGAAAATCTTTCTTTGCTTTGGGAAGTTCTCAGAATATAATTTTGCTCCATCCAGTGCTCTGCGGCTCCCCCAAATCCTGGGGTGGTCGGGGCTTAGTTCCCATGCCACACAGATTCAAGCAGACACTGAACAGCAGGTGACCCTGGCTTTAGAAGTTGACAAGGGATTTTCCTAATGCTGTGCAGGAGTTCAATGTGCTTCCCTTTCCTGTCTTTATCTACCTTGACTCTGGCCCACTCCTTCCTTGGAGTGTATTCAAATAAAATTTGCATTCTGCTTTGCCACTGTGTCTCTGCCTTTCAATTCTTCGTTGCAGGATGGACAGGAACCAAGGACAATAAACTCAACCCGTAACAGAACCTCACTATAAATATGAGCATTTGTGACAAAAGGATAAACAACCGTCCTGGTTTGACCAAGACTAAGGGGTTGGCTTCCCAGAATTCGGGACTTTCAGTTTATAAACCAGCGCAGTGCCAGGAAGACTAGGTCAAGCTGGTCACCCTGTGTGACAATCACAGACTCACCTTGACTCTGCTCTTGGTCATCTTGCTAACAGACTTGAAATCTGAAATAATGAAGGCTACCAGGTAGGTGCTCATCTTCACAGTGACATCAAAATGGTCTTCTGTGAGTTCTTCAGTAACTGTCACAGATTTAACCTAAGATCAGAATAACTTAAATCATTAATAATCCACTTACCCAGCACAGTGAAAACATTTTATGAAGAGAAATTTCCTAATCACTGGACACAATATTGAAAGCATATCATGTGACATTTTTATTATTATTTAAAAAAAATTTTCCTTCTGATATTTTATAATTTAGATAATTCTACACACTTTCTTATATTGAGATATAATTCACATACCATAAAATTCACCATTTTAAAGTGTACAATTAAATCATGTTTTATTATAGTCTCGGTTATACAACCATCTCCACTTCTTTCAAACAATCCAGATGATTGCAAACTGACTCATATTTGGTACATGAGGACTGATAACATGGATGAGACAAAATGAAACTGAGATTTCTGGCTTTGATAAGGTGTAGTGCATATGTCCTTAAATCCACGTATGAAAACTATCTGGAAATGCAATATCTAACCTGTTTTCTACCCTGGGCAAATATGTAACTGTGCACATTCTAAAAAGAGCTGCTGTTTCCCTAAATGAAAGTAACCCCTGCCTAAGCCTGATCCTATAAAGCCTTCTCCAAAACTCTGATCTGCTTCACTGGAATCAGCTCTGAAGTGCAATCGGGGCAGCCCTGCAGAGTTGAGCGGGATGATGGAGGTCCAGTCTAAGAGGTCTGTTCCCTAAGAAGAAAGTCTAATACCTCAGTCAACAGAAAGCACTGGGGCAGGATCTTGTAGAAAGGACCAACCAGAAATAGCCTGGGGAATTCCAGGTTAACATAATGCACTTTTCCTGTGATTTTATTTCCATCTCTAATTCTGTGCCCTCATCCTTCTTCTTAATACCCACCCACCACCAATTGTGGTGCCAAGTCGTATCATTCAAACCCTGACTCTGACAGCCAGCCTAATTTCAGTCTTGAAGAACCCAAATTACCTTGTTTTTAAATGCCCCTACCCACCCCTAACCAAAATTTCCATTCCTGAAGTTGTGCTAATTACTAGGAAAGTAAGCTAATCAATTCAAATTCAAATGTGAATTAAATTTAAACTCCTGCCGACCCAAACACTTCAATGTTTCACTAGTGTTTTATTCACCTTTTCCAGCCTCCAAAAAAATCCTTTGAGACACCACTGCCCTTTCCCTCAACTTCATGTCTGCAGACTAAGTTCAGGGCACTCCCATTAGATTTCTGCCAAGGGGTGGGCTTTCCTGCTCAAGGTACAAGATTACACTAGAGATTTTCCTATCCCCACTAAGTGGGGGCAAGGACAGCCATGGATTTAGATTTCAACATTGTTGTGAAGCCTCAAGGGCTCCTGACCTTCCCCCTGTGTCTACAAATTTCTCCACAAATCTTGTTTAGTCCATCAGTCTCTCCCTATTTCCATCCCATCCCTGTTTCTCCATTCTCCTAAAGCTGTGGTTCTCTAATTAGAGAACTCACACCCATTCCAGGAAGCAATATCATAATATTGGGGGAGGAAACTATAATTTGAACAAGCATGTTCTCTGTCTCAAATTTATATTAGGAAAATGGCATCACTGTTTCCTGTCTTTCCATATACAAATATGGCGGTGGTGGGAACACGACTGGGCTGGCAGGGATTTTCAGACAAGTGCTTTCTCCCAGGGAACAGCCCTCTGGGACTCTTGTCTGAGGAAGGGGTCCTTAAGGTACTCCAAATGGTGAGGGGACACAGAGTTTTAAAGGTTGAGGAGTACTGTACTGGAGGCTAGTCTGAGCTCTCCGAGTCCCTTCATGCTCTGACATTCCTTCCCTGGTTAGCACAGGGATGAGGTGGGACACCCTTCAGGACTCTGGGCAAAGTCTACTTCACCCTGAGTCTCATCCACAATGAGCTTCTCTGAGCAAAGGATGTATGTGCTTTTAGAGTTGCAGAAAGACAGCTCAGCTGATGTTTTTTCTAAACACTAGAATCACAGGTTAACGGCACTTGCTGAGTAGTTTTATTCATTTGGCACAATCATCTTCTTTGCCACTTTAAAAAAAGTCACACCAAACACTGCCCACATCTGCTTTGGCGTGTCCACACACCAAAAAAAGAGGGTTCTTTAGCCAGAGCTGAGCTATCAAGCTTTACTTTTATTTAGTACCATAATATTCTGAAAAGATTACTTATTTTTTTCTGTCTGCCCAATTTAATGCATATAGTTACAAACTACAACTAACACTAGTATATAGTATGTAGAAACCATAGAGAAAAACCTGTCATATACTAGAAATATGGCCTTATTTGACAAAACATTCTCTTTAAAACCCTTTTAAAAGATCATATAGTAAATGAAGGGCTAACTGCTTTGTGAAGGGCACTCTCATTAAACCCAACCTGAATTCCTTACAGTTTCCCTCCTATTAGCCTTGATGCCTGGAATGTCACTCTAACTGAAATCTTGCATGTTTTCAGTGTCAATTTTTTCTTTCACTACAAATAATGTTCCTTGAAACAAAAACATAGGTTGGAAATGAAAAAGAAAAGTTAGCTGTCAGACAATAAATCTAAAGAGATGACCTGAATGTTAACTATGACTGAGGTCATACAAATCCCAGCCAATCAGTGGATTTTTCTGAGTACATCTACAGGAGTTCAGACTTACCAGTGGCATATTGGAAATGGCAAGGTGCCTTGGGTCCCTTCTGATCTTGATTGAAAAACTTGCTTTGAAGGCAGGTTCATCAAAGCAGGGAAAGGCCATTCTGGCTGCAGTAGGTTCAAAGTGTGTTGATGCAAGTATCCTAAAATTATGGCAAGCAAAATAAGAATACAGTATGCAGTAGAGATGGTAAAATAGGTGTATGTTTGGTTTTTAATTCCTAAAGTTACCATAAGATTGGCAGATTTCATTACTAAAATGTCTCTTATATGACAAAGTTATCACAAACCAAGTTAAAAGACAAGTAAAAGCTGGAAAAATTGACTGAAAGGTATTTGACAAAGAGTTGGTAGCCTTAGCAGAAAATGAGCTCCTAAAAACGAGTAAGACGAACCCAGAAACCAAGGGTAATTAGCAGGTGTAAGTCCTGAACAGGCACTTCATAGAGGAACCTACAAATAGTCAAAAAACTTTTCAAAAGCTGCTCAACTTCCAAAATGATCAATGTATATAAACTGAAGGGAGATATCTTTTGGCTTTTTGGCTCTAAGAAGATAGTCCATACATGGTACTGGTTAGAAGGGAGGAATATGTCAAGGGATACCAAAAGTTGGTAGTCCCTTTGACTTAGTCCTTTTAATTCTAGACATTTATTCTAAAGAAATGACTTATGAAGATGTTGCTGATGCAGAAAAGTTGGAAATAACCTAATCTCCATCCATGAAAAATTAAATAAATCAATGCATGAACATTATAATAAAGTCATTAAAATGATGTATACTAATAACCATCCATATGAAATATCTCAACATATTTAAAAAACTCCCTTGCAAAACAGGAAATGTAACATAGATCCATTTACATAAAATGATGTGTATGAACATCCTGAGAGAAATCTAGAAGGATGGTCCCCCAAATAAAAAGCAATGATTATCTCTAGGGACTATAATTGGCATAATTTTATCCAAAAATTCTTTTTGGTAGCAGCTGCCTTTCTTCCCCCCAAATAATAACACGGAATCAGAAAAGTAAGTTAGTACAATCTACTTCCACCTAAAATCTGACTTTAAAATTCAGTATAAAAGGTTCCAAAATAAATGACCTCCTTAAAAGCAGAACTAAAACAAGGCAGGTGAGGATCCTGTTCTGGGTTAAATTGTGTCTCCAAAAAACATGTTGAAGTCTTGACTCCTGTGCCTGTGAACGTGGCTCTGCTTGGAAATGGGGTCTTCACAGATGGCATCAAGTTATGATGAGGACACCTGGTTGGGCCCTAATCCAATATGACGTTTCCTCATAAGAAGAGGGACGTCTGCAGAATGGCCAGGGGACCACAGAGGCAGAGACCGGACTGACATGACTGCGAGCCAAGGAATGCCAGCAATCAATGGTTAGCACAAGCCAGGAAGAGGCAAAAAAAGATCTTACTCAGAGACTTACAGAGAGCAGAGGCCTGCTGACACCTTGATTTTAGACTTTTAGACTCCAAAACTGTGGGAAAATAAGTTTCTGTTGCTTTAAGCAGCCTAGTTTGTGGTACTTCATTATAGCAGCCCAGGAAACAAATACACAGGCCAAGAGAATTAAAAATGTTTATTATATCCCAGAAATCCAATTAAATAAACAAAAAGGCATTTACTCTGATAGATCTGAAGGAAAGAAAACTGGTTAAAACTGAATGAAAAATAAGGTCCAGAAAGCAAAGAAGGAAAAAAAATGCTGGCCATCTTTAGCTCTACAAAGAATATACAAGAGCAAAACTAAAGACAGAATTCAACAAGCAAGGGAAAATTGGGATGAAATAATAAGTTCAGAATGGGCAGGACTTGAGCCTTAAAAAATTTATTAAAAAATACCTCATTTCCCCTTCCTTGGTTCTGTAGGTGCTCTTGTAAAATCCATGGAATGTCTCAGAAAGATTGCCAGCATACTCAAGGACCACCCTGTACGGGAGTCCAACACCCAGAGGCTCGGGGGCCAGAAGGGCAATTTGCTCGTGAGGTGGGTATTCCAGGACTCTCAGCGGTTCTTCAGGCTGCTTCTCTCCACCTCCCCTCTTGAGGGCCGCCTTAGATATCTGCAGCTGGTGACTATGCAGGATGATGGTACTGGTGGGCTGGCTGGCTCTGAGTTCTATTTCTATGGTGCCCTCGAAGGTTAGAGTGGTGAGATTCGCATGGATCATGAGATGGTAATGAACTGGGATGATGTGCTCAGGAAGTCGCATTTTATCCCAAGGAAATGGTGTCCCGTTACTAGCTTTTGGAGATGCAGTTTGACCGCTCTGACACCAGGAAGGTGTTGACACAGTTAAGAGAATCAACAGAGAGGAGAGTACAAATAACATGGTTGCACACGGCCGTTTGATGGACAGAGATGGCATCTTCTTGCTCAAATTACCTACTGGCACAAATATATAAAAGAAAAAAAAAAACTGAGTCATGAAAATGTTACCATAATTTCAGAATGTATCGACCCAGATGTAACAGATATAAAGTTTCAAAAGTACTAGGTCTTTTCCTGAAAGCAAAATGAACATCCTTATATTACTGATTCATAGAAGAAAGAAGTGTGGCTACCAACAATCTTAACACCTGCTAAAAAGCATCACTTGGTTTTCAAAGTTCAAATTAACTCTTTCAGTCAGGTTTTTGGCTGAAAGCAATAGAATAGGCTCTGGCTGAGGACCCTGAGCAGCCCACTAAGTGGGTCCCACAACAGTGAGTTGGAGGAAGCCACCCTACTGCCTGAACATGAGGCCCTGACACCACGACAGCCACAGCAGACTGAGATCCCGCTACCCTTGCAACTTTGCGTTACTTGGTTCAGCTGAGGTGAGGTGTCTACCCCACCAGGCAGGGAGGTGCAAAGAGCAAGAATCTGGGCTTTGCAGCTTCTGCAGTGGGGACAGGCCTTGCTTCCCACTAAGTTTACAAAGCAGAGGATTCCTAAAACAAAAAAGGAAGCATAGGAAGCAGACATAGATGCTGAGTAGCAAGGGGGTCAAAGGCAAGTGTCTGTAGGAGTAACATTTAATAACAGTGGTATCTTTGTCAAATGGTTATGCCAAAAGTTAATGTGACATTTATTTAGCCAGGAATGACCTGATAAATTTATGGTGATTTCACAATAGTTTGTGACAAATGTATCAATCTCCTGGTTTCTCTCTTAACAATCATCCAGCAGCTACGTGTTAGACACCTGCCACACTGAAGGCCGTGTGCTGAGTACTGCGTGGAATATAATAGACAAGATATAAATCCCACAATCAACGACTTCAAAATCTGGAAAGGCAGAAAACATTTATATACAAATAACAAAACACAACAGAAAAAGTAAGGGGTGTTTTAAGAATAATAATTAAAGAGGATGCTGTAGGAGAATGGAATGATATTTCTAAAGGGAGAGAGTGACGTTAGCTGCAGAGTGACTCTGGGACGCCTTCATGCAAGACCAGCACTTGAGCGTGGTTTGGAAGGACAGGCTGATTTTGTTGATGAAGGCAGGGCATTAAAAGCATCACAGGTAGAACATGCCAGGACAGGAGTTACAGGTTACAGCATGAAGTGAGAAACTACAGGGCCATTCGGGCAAGTGATGTGGACAGAAGGGAGCCCCAGAAGAACTTGATGACAAGGAGGAGAGTGACTTCAAGATTATGCTTAAAGCATCCTGGCAGTCATGCTGCAGGCCATATTTTGCACTTCAATTTAAAGCTCATGGGACACAAGTGGAATGTGAATTTTAAGGGAGTTGGCAGTCCATGTCCTGAGAACCAAATATACTTCTGTCTTTTAGACAGAGACATGTCTCTAATGGGGTCTGCCAGGTGAGTCCAGATAATTGGCCCTAATTCCCTCAAACTCCTCTGGCTCCTGAACATACAGAGCAGACGAGAAAAGCAGTAATGCTACAGCGTGGGCACCTCAACATGATGGTGGTACATGGGATTCTCCCTCTATGTCACTGGTTCTCAATTTTGCTGCATATTAACATCATTTAGGAACTTCTTAAAATGACTGATGCCTGGATCCCTATCTAGAACAATAAAACTGAAATCTCTGGTGGTGAGGTCAGGGCATCAGAATTAAAAAACAAAACAAAACAAAAACTTCCTAAACATTCTATTGAAGAGCCAGGTTGAGAACCTCCTGGATAATCCCTGCCAAAGCCTGCTCTTCTAGCTTGAACACCAGGTAGAGGGGTAAGACAAGGTAATGACTGATGTACTCTTCTCCACCCCTTAACTCTTTCTCCTCTCCCATCCCAAACACACAAACATGCCTACTGTCCCCTTCCCTAGAGAGCAGATCGGCAGGCTAAGCAGAAAGGAGACCAACAGAGTAGAAACAGTCACCAGAATCCCCTTTCAGAGGCACCAGCAACATAAGATAGAAAATAGGCGGAAACATTTTGTTTGGGGTTTCTTGCTTCTTTGTCTAGAAACCCACTAATGGGTGCTTCCAGCCACGGAGGATTGGAGCAGTCTGGAAAAGGAAAGGAAAGTTTAAACACTAAAATACTAAATAGCTCCCACCCCTACCTCCTCAGGCAGAATTCCAGGGCAGAGGCAGAATGATGGACTCCCTTCAAACTGGGGGACAAGGAGTAGAGGGAACTTAGGTGATGCTTGCAGTTGAGATTTCTAATGGTGATGGCGTAGTGGGTGCAGCCCAGGCCCCAAGATGGTAGAGAGAGCTCTGAAGGTGGCAGGTTCAGGCATATGAGGACTCTGGAAGTCCCTGAGTTTTCTCCAACAGCCTAGGAGGAGATCTAAAAATTCCAACTGGTTCTAAGCTAACACACAAGGCCATGGGCTGCTGCATGGGCTTGCAGTAGGACCTCACATCAAAGGCCTGGCAGGATTGAGTCCATGAAGAAAGGGTGCCAAAGAGAACACAGCTGTGTCTCAAAGGAGGATGAGATGCCAGGAAACCAAAAGGGAGCATGTTAACGCAGACAGCGTAAGTGTCAGAATATACACATACATAATCATAGCTGTATTAATGATGTATATATTAGCCTTACAGTCAGAAAAGAAAAACCTGGCTTTGAATTCTTGCTCTGGCACCTACTCTGTGACCCTGGACAGGTTATTTAATCCCAGTGTCATTTTCTTCAGGTGTAAATTGAGATGATGATAATAATAATACCTTTCTCACAGGATTGTTGTGAAGATTGAGTTAAAATATTTTCAATCACTCATTCCACAAATATTTATTAAGGGCCTATTATGTGCCAGGGGTTGTGCTGAGCACTGGCAATGCAAGGCAGAGCAGGTTCCTGCCCTCAGAGAGCTTATAGTATGTATGTGGTGAGGCAGTAACAAGTTCACATCAATTAATTAACTTAGTTCATTAAAATTAAATAAATAAAAGTTACCAACCGTAATTAGGGCTATCAACACACACACATAGCAAAAGAGACCAAACAGGGCACACTGATTTACACTGGGGGCTCTCTGGGGATAGTTCATCTAGGATATAAAGGACAAATTAAAGTCAGCTAAGAAAAGAGGGAGAGCTTTCCAGACAGAGGGGGCAGTAAACGTTTTTGCAAGCTCAGAGGCAGCAGAGTGCTGGTGAGAAGACCGTGAACCTGAAGTGCAGCAGGGAAGGCGCACTGGAAGATGGGCCACCACACAGCCCTGGAGGCACGTTAAGGATTTGGGACCCTATCTTACCTGCAATGAGAAGCCACTGGGTTTTGAGCAAGAAGGTCTTAGGATCCAGTGCACATTTAAGGAAAATCACCCCAGTTGCTGTGTGGAGCCTGGAGCAAGAGCGAAGGCCAAGAGCCCAGTTAGAAAGTAGTCATAGAGTAAGCTAGTGGCTTGGACTCACACGTGTCACCAGAGAGCAAGGGGAGGGCAGTGCATACAGAGAGATGACCAAAAGGCACAGAGACACACAGAGAAGGATGGATTCAACATCTAAATGTAGGGTGGACTAGTGTGGGGGTGAGGGGAAAGAGCATGTCAGGATGGCTGCCAGGTTTCTACAATGAAATCTGGGCAGTCATAAGAGCCATTTATTGAAATGGATCAGAGGTGGAACAGGTTTAAAGGGGAGGAGAGGGAAGGATTCATTTATAAATATGTTTAATGAGTGGTGTCTGCAAGATAGCCAAGGGGAAATATCAAGCAGGCAGTGAATACACAGATTTAGGTGTATTTATCATTAGAGATAAGGGTTTTAAAGGACTTTCCTGTACTTGACTGCATTTCTTTAAAGTTTTAAAAGTATCTTCCTTTGGCATCTCATCTTACTTAAAGTGTCTTTCACTGTCATGTTGTGGATGAAAGTGCAACAGTAGCAGGGTAAGTGACTTTACTTCACAGCCAGGGAGAGGGGAGAAACTTCAGGAACCTTACCGAGGCTGCTTGGGGGGTTCTGACATGTCCCACTCACACAAGAAGTGAGGGCCAACTAGTCCTGGGCTATTTCCCCCTTCCCTTCATTGGGACACTTACCGAATGAGAAATCTATCAAGAGGTAGGAGGCTTTCTCCCAAAGTGTCCTGAACAATGAAATGAACCAGCATTAACCAGCACCCGATAATAGTTTCTCACTGCTGGCAAACAATAACAATGTTGAAGTAATTTGAATATTTTTTAATATATTAAAAATTTTCTATTTAGGCTCACCTGACAATGTGCTACTTATCAATACCAATTCCAAATCCTTGGGAAAGGATACAACTCTGGCCTATTTCCTTAAATTTTTTTTTTAATTGTTGACACTCCTGAATTGAGATCAAATACTCTGGATATTACTTGAAAGAGAGCATTTCTTTCAGAACGTGACCTACATGAAAACCTCCATGAAAGTGGTTAGGAAGTGTCTGCTCCACTCCTGCCTCATGAAATTAACGTGCAGACCCCACCTGGCTGGTGAGGCACCCAGATAGGAAACGAATTTTTGCTCAAACACAAGAACTTATCTGAATAAAACCCGGCTAGAGCCAGAGTGAAGCGAGAACAGGCAGTGGCTCTAAGGCCCGGGAGAGGCAGGGAGAGTTGTCTGTGAGGACACTATGGACGCCGATCGCACACCTCCACCCGACGTTAACCCAAAGCCTCGATCGTTTCTCTGACAACTGTCCGCGAGGTGCCCTCCCGGGCCGCACCCCGCCGTCCCCCCCCCCCCCCCCCCCC